CTTTGAACATGGAATATATATTATTATGAGTGGCCAGATTATTCTGACCACCCATCAGTACTTCGTTGGGCCACCTTTTGCCTTCAATACTGCGGTGATTCTTCTTGACATTGACTCCACAAGATGTTGAAAGGTGATGCGAGGAATCTGACACCATGCCTGATGAATAGCACTGTCCAGTTCTGTGAGATTTGATGGTTGTGGAACTGATGGCTCTTAACTTTGTCCCACAAATGCTCAATTGGATTGAGATCTGGTGATTGTGGGGGCCACCTAAGCAAGGTAAAGTCTCCCTCAAGTTCTTGAAACCACTCCTGCACAATATGAGCACCATGGCATGGTGCATTGTCTTGTTGGAAAAAGCCATCTCCATTGGGATACGCCATCAACATGATAGGATGAACTTGATCAGCAACGATACTTAGGTATGTTGTGCTATTCAGATGTTGTTCCACACGAATTAAAAGGCCCAAATCATGCCAGGAAAACATGCCCCAAACCGTAACACTGCCCCCACCAGCTTGAAGGGTTGTACTCATGCATGTGGGTGCATACTTTCATGCTGTTTCCGCCAGATTCTCACTCTTCCATCTACATGATGCAACTGGAAACGTGATTCATCAGACCACATGACTTTTTTCCAATGCTCGACTGTCCAATCTTTGTGTTCCTGTGTGAATTAGAGACGTTTTATCTTGGTAACTGCAGACAGCAAAGGTGTTCGAACAGGCCTTTGGCTTCCATATGCTATACTATGCAGTGTACAGCTAATTTGCCTACAAACGTCAGGTGATCGTAATAATCTGGCCACTCAAGTTCAAATATATCCCACGTTCAAAGGCTGTTAAATCGCGTTGTTTACCCGTATCTTCAGAAAAAAATCACTTCTGTTGTGGTAAACAACCTGCTTCCCTATTTATAATGGTCTGGCCCTCTAGCACAGCGGTTCTCAACCTGTGGGTCGCGACCCCTTTGGGGGTCGAACGACCCTTTCACAGGGGTTGCCTAAGACCATTGGAAAACACATTTATAATTACGTATTGTTTTTGTGATTAATCACTATGCTTTAATTATGTTTAATTTGTATCAATGAAATTGGGGGTCACCACAACATGAGAAACTGTATTAAAGGGTCGCGGCATTAGGAAGGTTGAGAACCACTGCTCTAGCAACTTCAGCGTGAAATTATAGCTAATTTGCCTACAGACGTCAGGTGGTCATAATAATCTGGCCACTCAGGGTATATAGACAAGTAAGGGACAATGCATAAGAAGAGAAATCTGGCTTTGAAGCTATTCACCTGTTCAAGCACTGCTGGTGGCGTCTGGAAGCCTCTGTGGTTAGTAATTTTTCTTTGTCATCACCAGATAGCTGGCATTTAACTAATTGGGAAATCACCTACTGAGTTCTGTAATGCATTGATTACATTAGGCATACTCTATTAGAACTGGGCACAATATATTCAAGTAGTGACTTACTCATTTCTAGGACAGTCATCTTGCTTTTACAGGCTAATTCAGATGTTGTAATTGTACCAAGGTGTGTTTTTGGTTTTTATTTTAAGGGGTGGCATCATTTGCTATTCTTTCTGTAGAACTTAATTGAAAGACCTTTACTACAATTTCAAAATGGAAAGGTGGAATTTTAGCTAATGTTGGAAAAGGTGATAATATTCTTTGAGTATAGAAAATAGGAATTATATTTTAAAGGGAGACTTTAACGGTATTCTGCTTAACAAATGTCTTTCAGTTCATATTATGGATCCTAAATTATATATTGTTAAGTGAGCCATAAATTGTCGATATTATCAAGTAGTAAGAGATGACCAGAAAGAAAATTTAGTACTTTGCACTAGTTTTCTATGTAACAGTGCTAATATTTGCCAGCATAATTTTTTATAAGACACTAAATGAAAGTATAGTTTCAATCATATGACTTCTAGAAAGTAGTAAAAAGTTTATATAAAAGTTATACATAAAATCTATGCTAATAAAAGTGTAACATGCTAATTAGACCAGGAGACCTTCTAAGAGACCGTCTGGACATCCTTCCATACAAAGCCATTGGTGGTGGGGCCGAGGCAGAGGTGGTTAGGGGTGATCAGGCCAGCGGGGGGGGGGGGGGGGGGGGGAGAGGGGTAGTTGGGGGCAATCAGGCTGGCAGGCAGACTAGTTAGGGGTGATCAGACAGGCAGGCAGGTGAGTGGTAAGGAGCCAGCGGTCCAAGATTGCGAGAGGGATCCCAGATTGGAGAGGGTGCAGGCCAGGCAGAGGGACACCCCCCTTCCCCATGCACAAATTTCATGCACTGGGCCACTAGTGTATTTATAATATTTTAATTTTCCTTAATGCCCTATATTTTATGTAATGCAGTTATTCTTGAGCTATAATAATCTTCTTATAAATAGTTGCAACTCACAAGTAATTAAAATGTTAAGTGATTACATATAATGACTAAGATTTAAAAGGCTGGCAACATTAAATGTTGGCAAGGATACAAAGCAACCAGAACTCAGATATTCTTGGTGGAAACATCAAATGGTACAACCACGTTGGGAAAGGTCTGGCAGTTAAAAAAAAAAAAAAAATTAAGCATGTACCTAACCTGTGGCCCAACTTTCCTACTCTTAGATATTCACTTAAGAGAAATGATAACATATGTTTATTGAAAGAATGTTTATATAAGCTTTTATTCATAATTTTCAAAGACTGAAAACAGCCCAGTTGTCCATCAGTAAGAAGCAGGATACATTGGGATACTGCTGAGCAATGGAAAGAAACAGACTACTTGTATATATCACAGCATGGATGAATCTCAAAACATGCTAAGTGAAAGACGCCTTAACCAAAAGAGCTCATACTTGTTGTTTTCATGAATATGATATTCTAGAATTGACAAAAGTAATCTATGATGGAAAAATCAGAATATTGATTAGAGGGGAGGTAAGGGAACTTTCTGGAGTGATTGTTATATTCTATATCTTAATAGAGATACATAAGTATATGCATTTGTCAAAAACTCAGTGAATACACACTTAAGAAAAATGTAAACAAATATTGAACTTTAGCTAATGATATACATGCTATAATATTTAAAGAGAAGTGTACTGACTTGTGCAAAAATGTACTTTGTAGTGCCTAAAAAAACAAAATGGTTAGAAAAATGGGTAGATCTGTGATAAAGCAAGTAGATAAAATGTTAATGATAGGCTTGTGAAATACAAGCATTTGCTGTAAAATGCAAGCTTTGAAAAAATAAAATAAATTATTGGAAAAATATTAATTTATAATGGAATTCTTTATGCATGATGTATTCTTACAAACTCTATTTTGTTTCTCTTTGCTGCAGTGACCTTTTTCCTAATTTCATATGTGAACTTCTGGCTGTCTGAGAATTTATCTTTACTGTTAATTATACTAAACTAGTAGCCCTGCGCATGGTAGCTTGCTGCCGCTTGCCTCAGCTGACCACCCCTCTTGCCTCAGCTGGCCACCCCGCCCACTGCCACTGCCACTGGTAGCTCTCGCTGCGCCGCCCTCCTGTAGCTCTCCGCAGCTTGTAGATCAGTTGTGACATTACAGAGTCCCAGCTAATTTGCATATTCCTCTTATTATATTAGATCATAGCCTTATTTGAAGAGTCAGATTGCAGAGAAATTTCATTCTAGCTCATTAGTACAATTGCCTTTCTTTGCGGCTATCATCACAGTTTTACTTTTTTTGTTTTTGTTTTTACAAAGAGTAGGACGGAATGGCAATGCTTTCAGAAAAAATGTTAAAAATCATGCGGTTTCTCTGGGATTGTATTGCATATTGCTTATAATAATGTCTTTTTGTTTCTTTATTGATGGGGAAGAGGAAGGGAATGGTAGAATTGTACCAGTTTCAGGACCACCAAACATGGACTCTGAAACTAGATGGACCAGAGTTTGACTTCCATTTTAGTCGCTTTCAGCCTACTTGTTTTAATCCCTCGGAACCTTATTTTCCTTATCTATAAAATGGTGATGGTAACTACTTCATAGGGTTTGTTGAAGAGATTAAGTAATGCTTGTAGAGCAATTAGTGCCATAGTGTCTGGCATATAGTAATAGTGGATAAATAGAGTTAGGAGAGAATAGTTAAATCTCTGGAAATGAATTTTAAGACTCAGTTTGTTTGAGGAGAAAGTAAAGCAGTAAGGCAATATGCTTAGATGAAAATAGTCCACATGCATGATCGATCCTGAATGGACACTTAGGACCAAGGGCATCTATCGATTCCTCCCTAAAGATAGTGGATCAATAGGCTGCTAAAAATGAGCAATGTGCTAATGATTAACATTTAGAGTGGTGCTTGGGAATGAGAAGAAATTAAAGTAGTAGACTTTTCAGAGTATGTGTGCATGGCATCCACTCACCTTACTTCCAGCTCCTAATTCCCTTCTTTGGGGATCCACTTTTTCTCTACTTTAGTCTATGTGCTTATGGGGGCATTGACTCAAGTAACCCAGGTCTAGCCCATTAAAGCGTCACATGTCCCTGGCTACAGTGATTGGTTCAGGATGAGTACATGACCATCAGACATAGGAAGGTGTCATTCTGGGGCTCTTGTTGGCTTAATGTGGAAGCTGACTAAGGGCTATGACTCTGTGACCCTAAAATTGCTGGGAACTGGCTGCCAGGTACAGCCTGAGCATGAGCCCAATCCAGAGGAAGCAGAGTTGGGTGAAAGAATCCTAAGTCCAGTCACACCCATCTGGCTTTTTACTTAAGCCAGTTTTAGTCAGGCTTTCTATCATTTGCAGAAAGGATCTTCCACAAAGGTGCTCACCTGTATGTATCTATCAGTAGCATTGCTTAAGGGCTTCTTTACTTCCTGAGTGATTCTACAGACTGGTTGGTATGTCTCTGTCACATATACTTTGCTTGTATAATAGTTGTATCTGATGGTTAGATTGTAAGTTCTTCAAAGGAAAAGACTATCTTACTCCTATTAAATATACTTTTTTTCCTCATATAGATATAAATGCCCATATTTGTGCTGTCCAGTAGTCCCTGGTCTTCTGTCGTTCTTGAGAATTTAACATGTGGCTCATCCCAACTGAGATGTTTTGTAAGTATAAAATACACACTGATTTCAAAGACTTTAATTAGAATGTGAGATACCCCATCAATAATTTTAAAATTGATTACATGGTGATATGATAATTTTGGATACATTTGATTAAATAAAATATGTTATTAAAATGAATATTACCCGTTTTTTTTTCTTTTCTTAATGTGGTTTCTAGATCCTGCACATTATATTTCCTTTAGACAGTGCTGATCTAGACCCTTGATCCCTCCTTTTTTTCTCTCCTGTCAACCAGACCCTCCTGTCTCAACCTAGAGAGGCAGTCTTTATGATATAGGGCTCATGTACTCAAGGCTTGGAGTCAGAGACCCAGCCTAAATTCTTTCTCTCCTTTAGATATGCTGTGTACTTTATTAGTAATTTAGAATTAAGGATTTACTTAAAACTATTATCTATCATTTCATACATGCCAGGCAGTGTGCTTGGTGCTAAGTCTATAATGTTGAGCAGAGCACAGGTCCGGCACTCACAGAGATTCCAATCTAGTAGGGAAGACAGATATTGAGTAATCATGTAAGTAAATAATTGTTGTGGTAAGTACTACGAGGGAAAGACATAGATGTTATAAGACCATATAAGAAGGGACCTGTCCTAGTCTTGAGTGCTAGCATGGAATGTTTTTGTTATGTTTAAGAAATCAGAATTTGAAAGGTGAGGAAAAAGTTACCTAGGAGAGGGTAGTGGGAAAGAATATTCCAGGCAGATGGAATATTTGCAAAGGTCTTGAGTCAAAACAGATAGCTTGACCCTTTCAAGGAACCAATAGAAAACCTGTGGAGTGGAAAAGTGAAGTCATCAGGACTGTTGTAAGAAAAAAAAAAGTTCAAGAGTTAAGTCAGAACAAAATTGTGCAGAGGAAAATTGGTAGGACTTCGTAATAGATTAGATATGGATGGTGAGCAAGAGGGCAGTATCAAAAATTACTTGAGTTTCTGGCTTATGTGCCTATATGGGGAGTGCCAGTGATGCCATTCACTGCAGGAGGACCACGTGTTGGTGGAGATGATCTTGGGTTTGATTTTGGAAATGTTATGGTACTTTTGAAACAATCAGTATGTATTTTGTTTTATCAAGCTATGAAGGAAAAATCCCCCCCCAAAAAATAGTTTTACATTTGCATCTCTTATATTATCTCAATCTTGTGATTATAATTTAGGAATCTCTTTGATCCTTATCTGCCTGATAATCATTCTGATCCTGTTTCTTTGGCAAAAGATTTAGGTTGGTAAGTTTAAGATCATGATGAATGTATTATATGTTACTCTTGCTGTATTTAAAAATCCACATTGAATGTTTATTTTTACAAAAATACAATTCGGAACCTGAAATGGATAAGTATTGATGTTTACTGGTCCTTATCCCTTCTCTCACTCTATACTATCTCCCTAGATGACCTGCTTTTCTTTCTTTTTTTTAGGGCCTTCCGGTAAAAGCCGGAAGACCTGCTGGACAAATTCAAAAAGAGCTGTAAGCACTCATACTTACTGTTCATATCCTCAGTTGTCTTCTTATACTAATAGCTCTCAGACATACATTCCAAGTCCAGACCTGTCGTCTCGTCACCAGATTTGGTTATCCTTATTTAGATAAATGTCTCTGACAGGCATATCACATTCAATATGTCCAAACTCCAACTCTTGATCCCTCTTGCACCAATCCCTAGAGAAGAGCACTACTGACTATTTTATAAGCCTCAAGAGCCTGGGGAGTCTTTCTCACCCTCACTTCCCACACAATATTCAATCCACCTATTTAACCTTTGAAATCTCAACTCTCTCTTTGTATACTACCACTGTCCTACTTCAAGTTATCTTTTCTTCTTGGACTACTGTAATGGCCTTTTAACTGGACTTCCCCCATTCATTCAGACTTCTCTTAATTCTTATTTTATAAATAAAGGCCCGATGTACAAAATTCATGCAAGGGGCTTGGCCTTCTCAGCCCCTCGCAGCCTCAGCCAGCCCTCGCAGCCCCAGCTTTGTCCAGACAGTCGTTCTGCTGTTCGGTCTAATTAGCATATTAGCCGAAACCGGTTTGGCTCAGTGGATAGAGCGTCGGCCTGCGGACTGAAAGGTCCCAGGTTCGATTCCGGTCAAGGGCATGTACCTGGGTTGCGGGCATATCCCCAGTCGGAGATGTGCAGGAGGCAGCTGATCGATGTTTCTCTCTCATCGATGTTTCTAACTCTCTATTCCTCTCCCTTCCTCTCTGTAAAAAATCAATAAAATATATTTTTTAAAAAAATAAAAATAATTAGCATATTAGCTCTTTATTATATAGGATATATTCAGAATAAGTTTTGAAATATAGATCTCATCTTGCCATTCTTCTTAAAATCCTCTAATAACTTTTTAAATTTATAGACTAAAGACCCAAATCCTTAACATTGCCCATAGTGCTTTGTGAATTAATATTTTTTCCTTTTTTTTTTTTTTTTTAATGAACTATATATTTTTTTAATATATTTTATTGATTTTTTTTACAGAGAGGAAGGGAGAGAGAGATAGAGAGTTAGAAATATCGATGAGAGAGAAACATCGATCAGCTGCCTCCTGCACAACTCCTACTGGGGATGTGCCCGCAACCAAGGTACATGCCCTTGACCGGAATCGAACCTGGGACCTTTCAGTCCGTAGGCCGTCGCTCTTATCCACTGAGCCAAACCGGTTTCGGCATATTTTTTTCCTTTTTTAAAAATTAAATTTATTGGGGTGACATTGGTTCACAAAAACATACAGGTTTCAAGTGTACAAATCAATAAAACATCATCTGCACTCTGCATTGTACTCCCACTGTCCAAGCAAAGTCTCTTTCTGTCCCCATTTTCCCCCCTTTGCCCACCTTCACCTATCTCCCACTCCCCTTTCCCTCTGGCTATCACCACACTGTTGTTGGTGTCTATGTGTTTGCTTAATCTCTTCATCTTCTTTCATCCAGTCCCCAAATCCCCTCTCCCTTCTCACAGCTGTCAGTCTGTTCCATGTATCCATGCCTCTGGTTCTATATGGTATTTGTCTCTCTCTGACTGGCTTTTTCACTTAGCATAATAATTTCCAGGTCCATCCATGCTATTGCAAAAATTAAGATTGCCCTTTTTTTAGGATAGAATAATAGTAGTATTCTATTATGTAAATGTGCCACAGTTTTTTTATCCTCTCATCTACTGATGAACACTTTTGCTCTTTCCAGATTTTGGCTTTTGTAAATCTTCAATGAACATAGGTGTGCATATATTCTTTTGAATTACTGTTTTGGTTCTTTGGATATATTCCCAGAAGTGGGGTCACGGCGTCAAAAGGCAGTTATATTTTAATTTTTTGAGGAAACTCCATACTGTTTTCCACAGTGAGAATCTACATTCTCACCAAAAGTGCACAAGTGTTCCCTTTTCTCCATATCCTCTCCAGCACTTATTGTATGTTGATTTATTGATGATAGCCATTCTGACAGGCATGAGGTAATATCTCATTGTAGTTTTAATTTTCATCTCTTTGATCACTATTGATGTTGAGCATTTTTTCAAATGACCATTGGCCATCAGTATGTCCTCTTTGAAGAAGTGCCCTTTGCCCTTTTTTTAATTGAGTTTTTTGTCTTCTTGGTATTGAGTAGTATACATTCTTTATATATTTTGGAACTTAACCCCTTATTAGATCTATCATTGGCAAATATGTTCCCTTTTTATTTTATTGATGGTTTCTTTTGCTATGCAGAAGCTTTTTGGTTTCATGCAGTTCCATTTGTTTATTTTTTCCTTTGCTTCCCTTGCCTAAGGAAATATATCTACAAAAATATTGCTATGAGAAATGTCTGAAATTTTAACTGTCTCTGTTTTCTTCTACGATTTTTATGGTTTAGCGACTTAAGTATTTAAAACTACACATATATATATTTTTAAAAGTATATACAGATATATTTTTTAAAAGTATAATTCTCAAATCAGATTGCCTGATTCGAATCATAGTTCCATCAATTACTAGCTTTGGGATCTTGAACAAGTTACTTAATGTTCTTTCAGTTTCCTCATCTGAAAAATGGGGATAATATCAAACTCAGGGTTATCGTGAGGAGTACAGTAGGTCCTCGGGTTATGTCAGAGATCCGTTCCTAAGGCGCGACGTAACGCGATTTTTGCTGTAAGTCAGAACCCACCTACATAAGCACCTATGTCGCTCACATGGAGCACATACACAGCAGTAAGGAAGTGAAACAGTAGAAAAAAATTAAAGAAATAACAATTCCTGACCTTTACTAGTGGTAAATAAATAATAAAAAACATAAAGCACATATATAAATATGTCGAAATGATGGAACTTTTTTTTATAAATAAATGGGAGATGGCAATGTAACCACATACATCGAGTCCGACGTAACCCAAGGACTGTCTGCAAATCTGTTAATTCCTCATCTCAGTTAATATTTTGCTTGACACATAGTAAAAACTCAATCTATAATAATAAAAGTGTAATATGCTAGTTAGACCAGACATCCTTCTGGACGACCTTCCAGACAAAGCCGGGGCTGCAAGGGAATCCGGGGTCCCGGTGCCTGCCGACAGCTGGAGGGTAGCCTGGGTCTCGGGTGCCTGCCAGCAGTTGGAGGAAGCCCCGGTCCTGGCAGCCAGGGGAAGGAAGTCCTACTCTTGCATGAATTTCGTGCATTGGGCATCTAGTAAAAAATTATTAGCTATTATAATTATCTCCTCTAATTTATTCCCTTTAGACGTCAAAATTACCCTCATGAGTAAATCCGTTAGTTTAGACTAACGTTAATCTCTTTTTGACACCACTCTTATCTTTTATCCCCTTTTGTCTAACAACAAAAACCCTAATATTTTGTCTTTACTGCATGTGCTTGTTGTGTTCTCTTGCTCTCATTTTAGTTGCCTACCTCTCAGTCTTTTCTGGCTACTCTGTGTATTTATGATATTGGGCATTGTCTTTTATTTTAAACTAGGGGCCCAGTGCACGAAATTCGTGCACTGGGTGTGGGGGGTCGGGGGGGAGTGTCCCTCAGCCCAGCCTGCCCCCCTCACTTACTGGGAGCCCTCAGGCGTTGACCCCCATCACCCTCCAATCGCAGGGTCAGGCCTGGGCAAGGGGACCATCATATCCCTCCAATCCCCGGCTCCGCCCCCCGCCCAGGCCTGATGCCTCGGCCAGAGGAGTTGACCCTCATCACCCTCCAATCACCAGTCACCGGATCGGCCCCTTGACCAGGCCTCAGGCCTCCGGCAGAGGTGTCAGGCCTGGGCAGGGGACCCCCAGCTCCCCGCGATTGCAGGCTCCGCCCCTGCCCAGGCCTAACGCCTCTGGCCTAGGCGTCCGGCCCGGGCAGCGGGGACCCGCAGTGGAAGCAGCCCCGCGATCGTGGGCTCCGCTTTAGGCCCAGGCAAGGGACCCCTAGCTCCTGGGACTGCCAGCTTTGACCGTGCCCAGCTCCCATCGCTGGCTCCACCCCTACTTCCTGCTATCACTGGCCAGGGCGGAAAAGGAGCCTGATTCTCCGATCATGGCTGGGGGGCAGGGCAAAGGCGGCCCCAGGGCCGCCTTTGCCCTGCCCCCCAGCTCTTAGCTCCTCCCTGGGTTTCCGATCACTGTCAGTGGCAGGGGGCTTCTTCCTGCTTTCCCTTTCGCCTCCCTGCATTGTGCCTACATATGCAAATTAACCGCCATCTTGTTGGCAATTAACTGCCAATCTTAGTTGGCAGTTAACTGCCAATCTTAGTTGGCAGTTAATTTGCATATAGCCCTGATTAGCCAATGGAAAGGGTAGCGTCGTACACCAATTACCATTTTTCTCTTTTATTAGTGTAGATAATGGTGAGACTCCCCTCCTCCATGTTCCTCCACCCCACTTCGCTGAAATGTTTCAGCTGGAAGAAACTTTATGGATTATCTAGCCCAGTTAGTCCAGTGCCCTAGTTGTTTAAAGTGGAAGGTTAGGGCCTGAGACTTCAACTCCTTCTGATGATGGACAATTTTTTGTAAATCTTGAAAGACATTTTACTTCTTGACAGATTATAATGTTAAATGGAGTATTAAATTTTGGCATTTGGGAGATATCAGGAAATTCTTATGTATATAACGGAGAAACGAATCTTGAATTATAGGGAATACAGGTACGTTTTTTTTATGTCATCAGGTTTTTTTTTTATTATTATAGGTACATTTTGGTGGGAAATATAAGGAAAGTTCACTTAAAGTATTTTTTCTTTACTGTGTTCATGCCTGTTTTGGTATGCTAACCTCTTTTCTTATCCTCATGCATCTCTTTTTAAAAAATTTCTACATCTTAAAATGTTGCTCAAATTCATCCCTCCTTTGACTATTCCTACTCAGTACCATAGCTGAAGTTCTCATTACAATTCATCTTGACCATTGCAGTGACTTCCTGTTTTGCCTTCCTTCATTATTGCCATACCACACTCTCCTTACCTATGCTAAACCTTCTGCCAGAGTGATCTT